AGGGTTTAGGGTTTAGGGTTTAGGGTTGTTGTTTTTTTTTGAAAAGAGGCTCCAAGATGAACCAGCCCTGCCCCTAAAACCCTAAAACCTCAAAATCTAGATTCAATAAGAAAGGCACCAAACCCTAGCACTGCACCCCTCAACCCTGAACCCTGAACTTTAACCCCGAACCCTGACCCCAAGAACCCTAAACCCTAAACCCTAAACCCAAACCCTAAACCCTAAAGCCTAAACCCTAAAGCCTAAACCCTAAACCCTAAACCCTAAACCCAGACGCGCCCAGGCATCCGCGGTTCGATGCGAGATCGGGTCGACAGGCCGCCACCCCACGCCCCGAAGCACACTAACTGCAGGGTATAGGGTTTGGGGTTTAGGGTGTTTAGGGTTTAGGGTTTAGGGTTAGGGTTTGGGTTTAGGGTTTGGGCTGTAGGGTTTAGGGTTTAGGGCCTGGGGGGCTACTTTAGGAGTTTTTGGGCTTCGAGAGCTCAGGGGGGTTGAGGGATGTAGGGTTTAGCGCTGACTGTACGGTATAGGGTAGGGGGCTCGGGGGGTTTAGGGGTTGGGCTTTACAGGGGTTTGAGGGGTGTTTCAGGGGGTTTTAGTTGACTGCAGGGTCTTCGGGGCTAAGGGGGTTTTAGGGGTCTAGGGTTTAGGGTTGACTGAAGCGGTTTGGGGGTTTAGGGATGTTGGGGTTTGGGGGTTTAAGGGGTTAAGGGTTTAGGATGTAGGGGAATTGAACATAAACAAATACATTGCATATTAAGTCATTTTGACAAAGAATATAAGAAGCTAACCAATTTAAAAGATAAGAAGAACTATTTAAAAGACATTATAGATAAATCATACTTAGGTACAAGCCGTTATTTAAAAATATGTTAGGATGATTGAGAAATACAAAGAATTTTGGTTATTAAACTATGACGTTAAACATCTTAGAGTATCCTATGATTTTAAACATGGTGTTTATCAATATAGAAACCAATATGAACAAACAATAAGCAGGATTCTGCTCTTAATTTGCTATGAATATTTTCAGTCACAAGTAGGTCTTTACAGAAACTATTTTAATTTTGATGCTTTGTGGGGGTATTTATATATAATATTTTTTCAGAAGAAGAACAAGTATAAAATAGATACGCAACCATAATAGTATTCATTATATAATATTATCGTTGAGAACCCCAACACCCCATACTCTGCCCCATAAACCGAAACAACCTAACCTTGCCCATTTCGGGATGTTACATCACCTGATGAATAGGATGATTTTCTATATGGTAATGTGTTTTAGGATATAATGGCTACTATTTGGTTGACGGTGAACTGGGCGACCCCACTTGTCCATTTTGGATAATTGCACCTTATTTTCTATATGTTAAAGTGTTTTAGGATATTATGGCTATGATTTGGGCTGTAGTGGTGCAATTACCCAAACTGGGCAAGGCCTTCCCTGACTCCTAAAACCCCCCAAAACACCTTAAACCTTGAATCTCTAAACCCTCCTAAACTCCCCTTAAAAATCCCCTCTCTGACCTCTCCTGAACCCCTAAACCCGCCAAGCCCCTAAAGTAGGGTCCTATACCCTAAGCCCTAAGCCCCAAACCCCAAACCCCAAACCCTAAACCCTAAACTCCAAACCCTAAACCCCAAACCCTAAACCCTGTACCGTTCTTCGAGGTTGGCTTTCAGTACAAGCCGGACATACCGAACTCTGTCACGAACGTCTCCTTCTGGGAGTTTGAGCCTTCAGGTGCCCAGGGGGTTGGGATTCAGGATTCGTTAGGGCTTCGGATGACCGAGTCCGTGTGACCCTGTCCGTAGGACGCGTTTTCTTTTCATCACTTTCTCATTCCGCGATTTCTCGACGATCGCAGACGTTTTGAGCTCATACGTCAGAGTGAAATAGGCTTCGCAGTGGACCGCTCAAATCCCCAGTCCCAAATCCCTAAACCCTAAACCCTGAACCCTAAACCCGAAACCCTAAACCCCAAACCCTAAAGCCTAAACCCTAGACCCTGGACCCTACACCCTAAACCCGAAACCCGAAACCCGAAACCCTAAACCCTAAACCCTAGACCCTAGACCCTAGACCCTAAACCCTAAACCCGAAACCCTAAACCCTAAACCCCAATGAGGCTTCAACCTGTTCCGACGCGTGGATGCTGAGATCCCGGGCTTCGGCTTCTACCACGCCGGGCCCCTGCAACTTTGGGCTTGCGCAGGGCGTGGCTTGTGACCTTCGTTCCTTTTCTGTGTGCTGCAGTCTCTATGTCTCTATATGGTAGGTAATGTATGTAAATGCATGTATGTATGTATGTATCTATGCATATATATATATATATGGCGTGTGTATATATACAGTCCGAAATAGGGACTATAGTATTCCCTACTATAATACCTATCAAGGACTGTTAGTATAAGGGGGAACATCCCAACTTATCATTTCAAACAGGACACCCCAAAACTCCTCTGATTGAAAATCGCCCGCCCCGAACCTAAACTCCAATCAAACCCGAATTAACCTTAAACCTAAACCCTCAAAACCCTAAACCCCTAAAGCCAAAACCCCTAACCCAAAACCCCTCAACCCTAAACCCCTCAACCCTAAACCCCTAAACCCTGGAAAACCCTAAACCCCAAACCCTAAACCCTAAACCCTAAACCCTAAACCCTACACCCCAAACCCCTAAACCCCAAACCCCTAAACCCCAAACCCTGAGCTTTGCAGACCGCACGGAGGGCCGACCGTCAGTCCAGATCCTAGGTTCGAGCTCAAAGGCGTTCCAAGTGTCGACGCTCCTAACCCTAAACCCTAAACCCTAAACCCTAAACCCTAAACCCTAAACCCTAAACCCTAAACCCTAAACCCTAAACCCTAAACCCTAAACCCTAAACCCTACATCCTAAACCCTAAGCTTGAAACCCTGCAGCCTTAGGACTTCCTGGTCACGGAGAACTACTACATCCTCAGCCGCTGTCTGAGAATTGCCCTCCCCCCCCACCCCCCAACCAGGTTCCTTAATCCCTAGCCCTAAACCCTAAACCCTAAACCCTAAACCCTAAACCCTAAACCCTAAACCCTAAACCCTAAACCCCAAACCCTAAACCCGAAACCCCAAACCCTAAACCCTAAACCCTAAACCCTAAATCCAGATCCCAAACCCTGCCACAGACATGTTCGGACCAGCTGCTCAGCCAGGACCCAGTCTTCCAGCCCGGCAGTTTGGGGTTTAGGGTTTAGGGTTTAGGTCCGCCTTGATCTCCACATCCTCAGCTCCAAGACCTAAACCCAAACCCAAACCTCACCCCCCCCCCCCCCCCCCCCCGACCCCCTCGAACCCCAAGCCCAAACCCGGAGAAAGCATTGGATGGCTCCCCCACGATCGGGCCATAGCACCTCACGAAGCTGTCGAGCCCAGTCTGCATCCTAACCTTCACAGCTTCTGCGTCATTTTACAGCGAACCCTAAACCCTAAACCCTAAGCCCTAAACCCGAAACGCTAAACCCTAAACCCTAAACGCTAAACCCTAAACGCAACAAAAGGCCGCCGGGGTGGCGTCCCTGCCACGCCCGGCAAGTTCCTTCTGCTTTTTATTGGAACATAGAGTAAGTTATCATACTAAGCGTATAGGGTTTAGGGTTTATACGGTACCAGTTCACAAGATTACCCTACCATGGTAGCATAGTTGTTGCGAGCAAGCAAGTAGTCAGGTTCTAGGGTTCACGGCTCGTGCAGGATTTTTGAAGAGGAGAAAAACTCCCAAAACCCCCAAACCCCAAAAAACCCAAAACCCCAAACACCCAACCCTAAACCGCTCTAACCCCAAACACGAAACCCCTTAAACCCCCCACCCCTCCGAGGCAAGGCGCCCGTGAGCCTTTCCCCTCTGAGCGCTCTCGAGGGCATGCTTGGCTTGAGGCGGAAAGTGCATACACCTCCACAGGCTTTCGGGTAACCCTATACGCTACACCCTAAACCCTAAACCCTAAACCCTGGGGGTTTAAGGTCTAGGGACGACAGATACCTAATTAGTTTCATCATCTGTTGTACTTCAGCTCGTTGAGCGCTCGCCGGCGGGATCCTAGACACTCCCGGGAACATTTTAAGAACGGAGCCATGTGGGGCCCGCGTTTGGGGCTCAGGGACCTTAGGGTTAAGGGTTTAGGGTTTAGGGCTTGGGGTTTAGGGTTTAGGGTTAGGGTTCCTAAACCTTGCAACTGCCGGCAGGTCCATGGGCGAAAGCATCCGCTTCGATGCGTCGCAACCGACGCAGCTTGCACTAGTGCCTCGGTTTCGGATGGCCGCCTTTCTTCAGAAGGGTTTAAGGTTTCTGGGCTCTTGTTCGGGAACTGAAGTTATGATATCAGAATATATGGCTATATAGTAAAGCAACACGTTGTGCCCTTATTCTGGCAGTTTAAATTCAGTTCCTTTCCGGGGCTTCTTTCTTTAGCTCCGAAGCGAGAGGAGTTTTGAGGTTTAGGGTCGCGACCGAGGCGTAAAACTGTGTAAGATGTCTCGGGTTTAGGGTTCAGGGAGGAGAGAGTTTAGGATTATAGGGTTTAGGTTCGGGGTTTCGGGTTTGGGGTTTAGGATTATAGGGTCTAGCAAGAACCCTGAGCGCAAGCTCCACGGCTCAGGCTCTGACCCCCCCCCCCCAGAGACCCGCCGCACAGCGTGTTCGAGAGTTTCAGCTTTTCTTCTATGCTGCATGGGAAAGGCCAGCACACACCGGCGCCATCGCAAGTATGTTCGCAACCACCTGCGAAATCCGCGGTTTAGGGTTTAGGGTTTAGGGTTCAGGGTTTAGGGTTTAGGGTCTAGGGTTCAGGATTTAGGGTTTAGGGTTTAGGGGTTAGGGCATGGCATCTTTGGCTTGGTCCGAGAGCTTCCGGAGTAGGGCACACATCCCTAAACCCGAAGCCCAGTCAAGCCATGCACAAGTATCCATGAAGAGCCAGGAGTGAGGCCGGTCTGGAGAGACTTGCATAGAGGAACATGTCCGTTTCCTTGAGGATCGCCTTAATCAGCGGAAGGGCCGTATGTGTCGAAGCGGCCTCGGACGCTACACTCGCTGAAGTCGCGCAGCAGGCGCAAGCTGCGTTGGGCGTGGGTCGAAGCCAGCTGTTTGACACTGCCGGAAGCAGGTTGGATAGCAGCCTGACAGTTCGTCAAGCCGGACTTCGGGCAGATGACCAGCTGACGCTGTGCAGCAGGGCTGTTCAGGTGGCTGCGAATCCCTGTGCATGTGCGGCAATCCTCGGTGATGGAGTGGTTGTAACTTGGGGCAGTGACGAACGGGGCGGTGACAGCGTCCAAGTCAAGCTCACGGATGTGCAGCACATTCGGTCTTCTTCGTCTGCCTTTGCTGCCTTGCTGAGCAACGGAACAGTTGTAACATGGGGCGTCTTCTTCGACCCAGTGAATGTCAGGGACTTCCACAGATTGAGCACAGTGCAGAAGCTTCACGGAACAAACTTCGCATTCGCAGCCATCCTTGCTGATGGATCTGCTGTGGCTTGCGGCAATGGCGACTATGGAGGCGATGCAAGCACTGTTCAAGGCCGACTTAAGGGTGTGCGGGAAATCCAAGCAAACGATTTTGCCTTCGCTGCCATCCTGGAAGACGGTTCGGTTGTAACGTGGGGCAACCCAAGGGCAGGCGGTTACAGTGAGGCTGTCCAGGCAAAGTTGGTCGACGTCCAGTGCATCCAGGCTACATCTGAGGCTTTTGCTGCTGTCCTGCGTGATGGATCGGTGGTGGCTTGGGGCGCTCCCAGGTTTGGGGGTGACTGCGGCGCCGTGCAGGCGAAACTAAATGATATACAACATGTGCAAGCAACAAGAGCCGCATTTGCTGCCATCTCAAGCAATGGATCTGTGGTGAGCTGGGGCAGCCCTGCCCATGGTGGCGACAGCAGTCATGTCCAGGAGCAGCTGCGGGGTGTGCTCTAGTAGTAGGGCAGGTAACCTTTAACCTTTTTGGGGTAGTATAATCCCCTTATCATCCCCTCATAATCCCCTTAGATAATCACTTATAATCCCCTTACCATCCCCTTATAATCCCCTTATAATCCCCTTATAATCCCAAAGGTTAACCTTTAATTCCCCCTGGTTGCTGGACTATTAAGGTGCAGCAGATCCAGGGTTCGGACTTTGCATTTGCAGCCATTCTTCGCTCCGGAGGCGTCGTGACTTGGGGCAGGCGGGGTGACGGTGGTGACAGCGGCCATGTGCAACACCAGCTGATGAACGTACGAAGCATCCAATCCTCGGAGGGCGCGTTTGCGGCTCTCTTGCAGTCTGGCGAAGTTGTGACCTGGGGCGCGCCGGACGCGGGCGGCGACAGCAGCGAAGTTCGAGCTGAGCTGATGGATGTGCAGTACATCCAAGCAACGTCTGCGGCTTTTGCCGCCCTGAAGGCCGATGGATCTGTGGTGACGTGGGGATCATCAGACGCGGGTGGCGACAGTCGCGATGTCCAGGAGCAGCTGCAAGATGTTCTGCGCATCCAAGCCACGGACGCTGCTTTCGCGGCTGTCTTGCGCAGCGGGGCCATCGTCACGTGGGGCTGCTCGGAGTTTGGCGGTGACAGCTCTTGTGTGCAGGAGGAGTTGAGAAATGCTGCTCTGTTGGGAGGCGCTTGCACGATGGCGTGCACGTAGCTAGGGTCGAGCATGAGTAGCTCTGATGCTTGGCAGTGTTACCAGCAACACCTCGTGGCGCAAACTGTCCAAACTGTCGCCGTGTCTTCTCCTCCGCTCTCGCGCTGAGCCGTCACCTTCGCGGTTTGAGCTTGGAACCCTAAACCCTAAACCTCTAAACCCAAAAGATTTAGAAATGAGGTGAATAGGGTAATGGGGGGTGAATTCAGGCCCCGAACCCTAAACCTCTAAGCCCCTAAGCCCTAAACCTTAAATTTAACTTGCTTAAGGTTTAGGGTTTAGGGTTTAGGGTTTAGGGTTTAGGGTTTAGGGTTTAGGGTTTAGGGTTTAGGGTTTAGGGTTTAGGGTCGGGTGTTTGGGGGGCTGACCTCCTGCAATGTGAACTTCCCAACCGCAGAAGACCATGAGCCCGTACTGCTCCGCCGCTCTTCAACACCCCTAAGCCATCCTAAGCCCCCGAAATCCTAAACCCTAAGCCCTAAGCCCTAAACCCTAAACCCTAAACCCTAAACCCTAAACCCTAAACCCTAAACCCTAAACCCTAAAGCCTAGACCCTAAACCCTAAACCCTCAACCCTCAACCCTAACCCTAACCCTAACCCTAAACCCTAAACCCTAAACCCTAAACCCTAAACCCTAAACCCTAAACCCTAAACCCTAAACCCTAAACCCTAAGCCTAAACCCTAAACCCTAAACCCTAAATCCTAACACCTAAGCCTTATGAATTAGGCCTCCAAAACCCGAAACAACTTTACCCTTACAAGCCCTACAAGCCCGAAACCCTAAAGTCCCAAACCGTGTGGCCCCAACCCTGCATTTTAGGGTCTAGGGTTGAGGACTTAGGGTTTAGGGTTGAGGGCTTAGGGTTTAGGGTTTAGGGTTTAGGGTTTAGGGCTTAGGGTTTAGGTTTCGGGGGATTGAGCACCTGCAGATCAGGTGCCGCGGGATGGATCCCTACCAAGGCACGGGCGGCCCTCAAGCCCGCAACCCCTCGACCCCTCAGCCCCTTTAGGGTTTGGGTTTAGGGTTTAGGGTTTAGGGTTTAGGGTTTAGGGTTTAGGGTTTAGGGTTTAGGGTTTAGGGTTTAGGGTTTTGGGTTTTGGGTTTTGGGTTTAGGGTTCCCTCAACCCCTCAGCCCCTCAACCCCTCAACCCCTAAAACTCCTCAAGCTCCTAAACACCCTGAAAGCCCTTAACCCCTAAACCTCCTAAAGCCCCTAAACGCCCTGAAAGCCCTCAAGCCTCAACCCCTCAAGCCTAAAGCCCGACCGTTTTCATGCTGGGTTTTAGGAGACCTCTAGCGTGTAGGGGTTTAAGGCCTCTGTTTTTTTTCTACGATTTGCTCTGAAAAAAACAACGGAGAGTAATCCCTATAGTACCTTATAAGGAAGAATATTTTTCATCCCTATAGTACCCTTGCAAGGAGGAACACGATTAAAGCAACCTATAGTACCCTTATAAGAAAGAAGATTCTTGAAGCAAATGGTTGGTTTAGGGATAGTCTCTTTGGGGGCGCGTCGCTGGCTCCCAGCCAGGAACATGTCGTAGTCTTAGGGTAGTTACATGGCCCCTGAATCTGGGGCCTTCATTGGTGTTTAGGGTTTAGGGTCTCGGGTTTGGGGTTTAGGGTTTGGGGTTTGGGGTTTATGCCCCTTGCCCTTATGTACCGCAAGGGCCATCAGAGCCCGCTAAAGACGCAAGGGGGCCATCTTAAGGAGCCAACCGAGGACCACTTTTCTCAAGGGACTGAAGGAAGCACTCTTCCATGGGAGCCTAGAGTTCATGTAGGGACTATGTAAGGTGTATATATGGGGGTTATATAGGGGAAGAAGATTTAAGGGTCCCTTCTGAGGGGTCCCTCCTACAAGCCCCTAGGTTTAGTTGAGGAGTATGGCATATGGCTTTAGAGGGCTTTTGGGACGCGCATTTACCGGGTTGGATGTTCCCCTTATACTATCAGTCCTTAAAGGGAGCACATTCGGGGGCATGATAATCCCCATGAAGGACTTAGTATAAGGGGGAACATCCCAATTTATGGGGTTTTAAAGGCCTGTGGTGCGAGTTTCATGGGGCGCAGTGCTTCGGGTGCCGATGATCTTGCACGACCTCTTCGCGCACCCCGCTAAGCCCTATCCCTAAACCCTAAACCCTAAACCCTAAACCCTAAACCCTAAACCCTAAACCCTAAACCCTAAACCCTAAACCCTAAACCCTAAACCCTAAACCTAACCCTAAACCCTAAACCCTAAACCCTAAACCCTAAACCCTAAACCCTAAACCCTAAACCCTAAACCCTAAACCCTAAACCCTAAACCCTAAACCCTAAACCCTAAACCCTAAACCCATGACCCCGCTAGGTTCATCGACTTGGACACGCACTTCTGCTTCCACTTCGGGAACGGCTATGAAGAAGACGGCAAGATCATCCTCGACATGGCCCCTCGAGTCTGATAGTCCGAATCCAACAATCCGTGTGCACCCGGAACCCTAAACCCTAAACCCTAAACCCTAAACCCCTAAACCCCTAAACCCTAAACCCTAAACCCTAAACCCTACACCCTAATTAAACCCTAAACCCTAAACCCTACACCCTAATTAAACCCTAAACCCTAAACCCTATGTGTAAGTTAGGTAGGCGAGACACCTGAATCCAAGCTAACACTCCCTGTGTCGGGTAAAGGCTGCCTTGAGCCCCAAACCCTGAACCCTTGAGGGTTCGGGGTTCAGGTCCCTTTGCCGCGGTCGCTGCGACTGTTTGTTTTGCTTTTGACCTTCAATTCTGAGGAGTGCGTGCTCGTGTGCGAGAAGCGGGTGCATGGGAAGGGGCATGGAGCCAAACAGCCCTGAAACCTAAGCCCCTCAACCAGACCCAAAAGCCCAAAAACCCACCCCTGAACCCTAAACCCTAAACCCTAAACCCTAAACCCTAAACCCTAAACCCTAAACCCTAAACCCTAAGCCCTAAACCCTAAACCCGAAACCCTAAACCCTAACCCCCGGATGTTCCCCCTTATAGTACCCCCTTACTAGAATCCCTATGAAGGACTGTTACTATAAGGGGGAACATCCCAACCTTAACCCTAAACCCTGAACCCTAAACCCTAAACCCTAAACCCTGACCCCTAAACCCTAAACCCTAAACCCTAAACCCTAAACCCTAAACCCTAAACCCTAAACCCTAAACCCTAAACCCTAAACCCTCAAGGCCCCCTAAGTCCTTTTGCCCAGGCTTGGGCCGCCTCTTTGGAGCTCGGCGATGCCTCGAGTGCCGACCGACCCGTCCGGAATCCATGCTCAGGGGCTATGGGGTCTTAGGGGTTTAGGATTTAGGGCTAGGGTTTAGGGTTTAGGGTTTAGGGTTTAGGGTTTAGGGTTTAGGGTTTAGGTTCAGGGTTTAGGGTTTAGGGTTTAGGGTTTAGGGTTTAAAGGGTTAGGGTTCAGGGTTCAGGGTTCAGGGTTTAGGGTTTAGGGTTTAGGGTTTAGAGTTTAGGGTTTAGGGTTTAGGGTTTAGGGTTTAGGGTTTAGGGTTTAGGGTTTAGGGTTTGGGGTTCAGGGCTTCTTGGGCTTACCCCTTTTATGCCCCAAAAAGAATAGGATCCCCTAAAGGGACCCCCAAAAGGGTACCCCGATTTTTGGAAATCGCATTTAGGGTTTGCGGCAGTGTTGGGATTTAGGGTGTTTAGGGGTCTACGAGTTTGCACGGCCCTGAACGTAATGACGAGATTATGCGCTCATGCGCGTGACCGGCCTCATCCTCAGAAGGTCGGAAAAAAGGAGTAGCAGCACTAGCAGTCGCTGTTTGGTTTCAAGGTTTAGGTTGTAGGGCTTAGGGTTAATGGCTTTGGGTTGGTTGAAAGGCCGCCCACCCCGAATCCCAAACCTCGCCGCCTGAATAACGAACCCCTAAACCCCAAAATCCCAAAACCTAAAACTCCCAAAACCCCTGCTGTACCCCCCAAACCACGGAACTCCTAAACCGAAAGAAGCCTAAACCCCTAACCCCCCGTAATCCTAAAACCCCCAAAGCCCGAAGACCCCAAAGCCCCAAACCCCCATACCCCTAAACCCCAAGACCCCTAGACCCCTATTGTGGGAAATACCCAAATCAACCTATACAGGCACAAGGGTTTAGGGCAACAATGAACGTTTTGCCCTTAAGCCCAGCCCGAAGACCCTCAACTTAAAGCCCCCACAGCCCTATACCCTGAAACCAAGAAACCTCATGCCTTCACGTCAGGATGCCTTGAAAACCCATCGCCTTCGCAGGCCTCAAGGCACAAGCCAGAAACC